ACAATAACTTTTTGTTTTTGATGACTGAGGTTGTTACATTTTTTAAATATTACTATTTCTATTCAATTCGATTATAATCTTCAAGACTATTCTGGACCATTTATTAGACTTTTCTATTTCAATTAGAATATTAATAGTTCTATTCAATAGTTCTAATTAATTCACATCCGGCGGAAAAGGAAGAATGTGAGCACTATAAAAGAAACATTAATAGTTCTAATAGGCCAGGCACCAAGGGAATGAATATTGAATTAAATGCTGGAAAGCTGGAAATTTTTTTAAAAGACGTCTTATGAGGTCCTTAAACAAGGGTTAATTTTGCACCATTCCTGAAGTGGAGCTTTAGCCGCCATCTTGGATTTTTAGGCCTAAAATCGATATTTTTTCGGTTTTTGGCCTCAAAGTCGGTGAAAAAGTCATTTTTTCGTCAAAATACCTCAGTAATGAAATGAAGCTAATAAAATTTCCTATTAAAAGTGTGGTATACGTTTTTTCCATGCGACCCACCTTTTCCGAGTTATGATCGTCGCAAAGTTGGGCTTTTCCGCTCGAAATCGGCCAAAACCGGTATTTCTAAGTTTCCAGTGCGCTACAACTTAGCAAAAACCGATGAAAGAGAGGAAAACTCATTCCGAACCTAAAATCAGTGATTTCTCAAAAATTAATCCCAAAATCCAAGTGCGTGGGGGGGGGGGGGGGGAGGTGCGCAAGATGTCCTAATGCCGTAGCGCGCCGCTGCTCATGCGCCCAGTTCGTTAGTTTTTTTTTGGTGATTGAAATGAAAATGCAAAATGATTCTATGTTTTTCTTCAGTGAAGCGTTACAGAACTCAAATTGAAACTTCAGTTTCTTTATATCACCTGGTTCCTTTCTGTTAGTCACTGCAAAATTGTTCATAGTTTCAGCTGTTAGCCAGGAATAAAGCGTACCCATTTAGCAGAAAAAAGGAGTGTTTTAGGTACAAACAATATAAGAAAAGCAAGTTTCTCCAATTTACAGTTGAACATATATTTGAAAATTCACTGAAATACAAAAAAAATCAGATTTAACACCTGGGAGAGGTTCATATTTGCCTTACAATCTACACACGAGATTCTTACATTTCATCTTCATCCATGCTATCCTCATCTTCGATGATATCGGCCACGTTTGAGCATGATCTACCTTCGCAGTTTTTGCAAAGTAAAGAGCAGTGTAAGCCTGCTTTTCGGCAGGAACAAGCATTTTGACAGCCCTTCACACATTTGCATGAAATTAATTTTAAAAGCTCTTGAGGCGCCGGATCATTCTGCATTGGAATCGGGAATAGTCCAGTTTTACAATGTTTCCACCCCCACTGTAATGGAGATATTTCGTGACCATACCACATCTGCATTTGTAAATAGACTCTAAATGAATGCATACGCGCTGAATCTGAAGAAGGGGGCAAGGAAGCTAAATTATTCGGTGCACTTTTGCTTATCGCTTGTGTGAAGCACTGGTACCTAAATTGATTCAATGATACATCACCTTGAGCACCGTAGAGGGAAAGAAACAACTTTTCCCCTGCACTAGCTACTGCCTCTGGTGAGGCATTTGGTTTTTTAAAAATTTGAGCCGCTAATTTTAAGCTCTCATCTTTTTGTAACAATTTGAAGAGCTTATGTTTTCCTTGCCTGAAAATTGCAGATGTGGTATCACAACCAGTGAATGCGTGTAAAAGTGAAACATTATCTGCTAAAGTTAGGTTCTGGTTCAGCGAGTAAGTTTTATTGGGAATTTTACCTTTACCCGGCTTAAGAAAATAAATGTTTTTCTTAGAGTTGTTCAAAGCTGTAAGGATTACTAAGAGATCAGAGTCTTCACCTACAATTACGACTGATGGAGAATTTTCAGAGTACTCCATGGCTGTATTTACAATAAGTACGTCAGCATCCTCTTTCGCTTGTTTAGTTTTAATACCTGCCCTCTCAAACCTCTCTCTTAGTAAAGCTATCAATCGACTTTTATTTTTCTCGTTCGCGAGGAATTTACTTTGTGTGACAGTCGCTGACATACTCTCTTCAAAAATAATCTCTGGAGATGATAATGATTTTGATCTCCGACAGCGTTCCGCTGTTTTGGTGCTCTTTGCTTCGCTGTCCTCCGGATATCCATCAAACACCACTGTCGTGTTAGCGGAATAATTTTTCTGCACATACTCAACATGTTTATCGAGTATTTGGGAGTATGTTTCTTGCCGATGCCAGATAATTTTGTGAACCAAAAATCCTCCATCAATCACACAGATAGAATCTTTCAATTTGACTACAGTTTCGCAAGTTGAAAAAAATTCATAGATCACTGACTTAGACGTTTTCCGCATTCCGGATTCGTCAAAAAGAGCCAATGGATAAGGAGCCAGTTCGAATTGAAAATAATCCTCCAATTGTTTGTCTGATTTTTTAAGGAAAGAAATCCTTTGAAAAAGAAGTGTAGGATTAATGGGTATTACTTTATTATTTAATTTAACGCTGCAGTTTGTTGCAGAAATGGGTAACACGCGGTTGCTCCTTTTAAATTTGATTTCACCGAAAGTGCCCTCCAGCGTACTCATTTGCACCCTACCAACTTCACGAGCTTTATGACAGTTAATTTTTGGATCAGCAACAACACCTGTGCTGATTGACACGAGATTATCATTTTCAGGGAACGGCGGATGCAAAGAAAACCATTCTGTGAACTTCCCACAATCATTATTATCACGGGAGACTCGAGAGGGTCGACTGTCTACGTGTTGCTCTGTTGTGTGCAACGAAATTTTACAAAAATTTTCAACTGATTGAGAAATGCTGGACAAAAAAGGCATAGAAAGTATCCATTTTGCTAAGGTGGAATCACTAATACCTCTACCATGGCTGAGGCCCCCAGAACTTTTTAGAGATCTCATTAAAGTTTGCTCAATGGTCATATCTGACCATATACCTGACCAAAATTTGTTGGAACGTCTGACAGTAAACATTCCTCTTTCAACAAAAGAACAATATTCGCCCAGACTCATTTTATTTTTGAGCTCTAACATGTCCTGTAAGTATAAATGACACGATTTTGCGTACAAAAAGTGTCCACTTGCGTGAAAAAATGGTATCATCTTTTGCACAGTTTGAAGGTGTAAAGTCCAATTACCTGAGCGTTCAGATTCAACAAATAAAATCATTAATGTCACAGCATCGAAATACTGAACCCATAACTTTGAAGTGGGGCCTCTTTCTTCGATTTGTCTCAGTAAAAGTAAGAATTTGTCTATCAAACTCCTTACCTCTGTGTTTTGGATTTTACTTAAATAATCAGGCTCCTCAAGCATCAGTAAATATTCGGTTAACAAAGTTTCTTCATCCGATGTTAAATTTAATTCTTTAAAAATAATTTTGGCTAAAGCTAGGCGAGTTAGCAAATGTGCTCGAAATGCCCTTGCATATGCATGACCTGTTAGCATTTTATCCGTTGAAGCACCGGCGTAAACTGTATTAAACACATCCTTCAACCCACTGCCATCCATGATAAAACCCAAAGCACCTAGGTATGACATTAGTAGGTGGAATCCACCTAGCCTAACTATGATCTTGCTCAAATCAGAACCTTTTTCAGCAGATGCTATGATGTCTCGTGCTTTAAAATACAATGGCTGGTCAAAAGTTACAATACAACAAGTTTGTTTAGCTAGCTTAGTTTTTTCTACAGCAGTGAGAAGTACAGTGTAAATTGTGTTGAAATCAGACGGAGGAGCATTTGTAAACGGAAGACACAAAATGTACGACTTTTCATGTGGCAAGTGAGCTGTAATTTTTTCCATGTACCCATTCCAACCTGGCAATTCAAACGATTCTGAGGCTTTAGCGAACAACCAAAGAAAGTCTGAAATAGATGGAACAATTTCCTCACATAAAGGATTTTTATCGCATAAATTTTCAATTTTCACTAAATTAAGCCCCGAATTTTCAGTTTTGTGAAAAATTTGAATGGGCACTTGACTCGATAAAGCAACAGAATCAGCAGATGGAATAATTTTCAGTCTTGGGATTTTTTTCTCACAAGAAACCGCTGTTCGGGGTGTGATGCACTGAATGCCGCCCATGCTGTGGAACGTATTGTACCCATCAAGCGTGCATACATTGACGTCAGCATTATCAAACACAAACTGTGAAAATGACTCCTGGATTGAAAAATTAGGCGGGTCTGTCATTGCGGAAATCTGAAACAGTTATCAGAAAAGCTGATGGAGAAAAGTCAGAATATCCATTTACGTACTGGGTACATCTCTCACTAATGTCTCGTTGTCATTGAGAGCAAATTATGGGAACTGTGGGGGATACTTAGTACCGAACTTCTTCCTCATTGGCTGTTAGAAAAGGTATGCAACATCATCTCTCCATTAACTTTGCTCGTGTCATAGTGGTTGCATATCTTTTTGACAACCAAGGAGTAGCAGGTTCGGTAGTGCCATAATACTATGGGGAGAGACAGTTCCACTTTATTGCAAAATTAAAACGTGTTATTAACGTTTTATTAACGTTTTAGTTTAATAAAACGTTAATTGCACTTTCAAGTTTACACATTTAATTTTTATTTCATGAATGAATATGGTAGCATAAAACTACAAAATATTTAGGAATTTCTGCAGATTTTACAGCTTAAGTACCGTTTTAAATAATTCGAATTTTTGAGACGTTGGTTCATTTTAAATAATTCATTTTGAAAATAAATAATGTAGGATTCGCTTAAATAGTTCTTCTTTTCTGTTCCACAGAATTAGACCATTGGACACCATTCAAAAAACGCGAAAATTATAATGATCGTCACTCAGAATGACGTAACTCAATTTGGCGGGAAATCAAATGATTTGAAATAGTATGCAGCTTCCTGCGTCTCAATGAGTTCATTAGCAGAAAAAAAAATAGTGTGTTTCTCCCGGAAAATACCTTCATGCAAAAAATACTATTGGCGGGATATTTCAACGTAAAACTAACCTGTAATCTAGTTGCTTCTCTGTAAGTCGAGCAAAAACCTAAAGATGCTAACACATCAATTAGCTGCCTTGATCCGAATTTTTGATTGATAAGACTTGAAAGGCCAACTTGCAATCCAGAAACGAACGACTTAGGCCGGACGGAGGCTATAATGGCGTGAGCGATGGCTGTACATCTGGTTTTCCACTTATCCATGGATCCTTTTTTGTGCGAAGTTATGATAGTTTCCAGCAAACAATTTAAAGTTTCCGGTACGTCTTCTTCAACGGATATCAAAAAATCATTACATTGAGGATAATTTTCGGTATCATAAACTGTCTGCCTGATATCCTCGCAAATAATTTCGGCGGCAGATTTCACTATTCGAAGTCTTTCGTCCTTTTCAGAGGCATCCTGCTTTGAGTACCACTGTTCTGATAGAATTTTGTGTCCGGTGTTCCGAAAACAAACCACGGGTTTCCGGTTTTTAACTGATGTGACCTGGATGTCTTCGCCGTACTTTGCCACCAGTTTTTCCTTAATTACTCTCTGACTGGGCAGTTCACCCTTAAAACCTTCAAATATTTCATCTAGAGAAAACTGGCATTCTTCACTGTTTTTCTCAAGAAAATTGAATGCAAAATTCATGGCAGCACCAGTGTGGGCGCTTTCAGGTCGACCTCTGGGTTTACCTTTCCTCGGTTGTGAGTAGAACAGCTTGCAACAATTAGAGTGATATCTGGCCTCAGCTGCAATTAGATCAACTGTACTAATGCGCGTAAAAAGTTGTTGGCATTGTTCATCATCCCGTTCATCGATAATTTCCATAAGTGTATCCTTAATTCCCATGGTCTCGACGCGATTCACTGACACGCGCTTACTTCGCTTTACTTTTATTTGTCTTTGCAAAAACACATCACTCGCATCTTCAGCACAAAAGATACAATTTTTTTTAAAATCGAAAGAAGGGACATTGCTACGAAAACTCGCCGAGGTACTTTCTGGTTGAGTCGATTTGACCCTTCGACTTTTTTCCTTCGTATAGATCTTTCGACACTTCGAATGCACTTTTACACTCTTAATAGTCTTTAAAAATGCATCGTTCCCGTCTTTACATTCCGCACTGCACCGAATTAAGGTTTTTAACCCTCTGGACTTCACAGCATCCACTTCCCCCTCTGCCAAATTTAACCCGCAAATGAAACATGTTTCAAGATTCACCATGTCTCATCAATTTCGATGACAACTGTAAAATGAAATCACTTTACAACTTCGTGAAAATTGTTCTGGTAGAATTTAAGCATCCTTATACTAAAACCTCGTTTGACACTCCGAACACGGACGTGCTAGCAAATCCCTTGTCGCGACAAGACTGAGTGAATGAAAAATTTTGAAGACCATCGAACATTGCAATGTGTGTGTATTTTGAAACGTGTGTGGTTATCTGTTCAAAATAGATGCAGGGAGGCTAGCTGAGACCAAAGCTCCGCTTAATTTTGCTGAGTTCAGCACCATTGGCGTGGCGTGAATTGCGATGTATCGATTGTTATGCCATTTAAACCTATGGTAAAGAATCTATTATTAAGGTTTTTGCTGCGAACACACTGTTTATCGATCTTTTTCTATGGATTTAAATGGCTTAACAATCGATATATCGCAATTCACGCCACGCCACTGTATCAGCACAGGATCGAATTGTTGAGATACGAAGGCTCCAGACAGACCGGGAGTCTGCAAACCCATAAAAATGATTGCCATTCGAAACCCAGTAGCTGATAAGACAGCGCGGTACGGCACGGTGTGTGAAAAAACAGTGCGCGCGCGGCGCGGCGCGCCCATCGACTCGGTCACCGTGCCGCCGTGCCCCCCCCCCCCCCC